ATACTATTCCATATACGTCCAGAAACAAGCTGCAAATCTCTATGTCCAAACCAATCATCATATAACAACATATCTTAGAAAAAGGTGTTTTGTTATACAGAAAAATTTGGAAGTAATATCTTTAATAAACTGATCACTGTAATTATAAATATACAAAGCTGTCCACATACAAGGCTGCTTCACAATAGCAGCAAAAATAACTGGAAAAAGTCAAGACAAGAAGTGAATATTTTCCATTAGCTTCATAACCCACATCAAAATCACTTTACAAAATGAATCACATTTCCTTTGGAAAAAATGTATTCCGTACTAAAGTTTTCACAAGAAACTAATTATATATTGAGTAATCCTATGTATGCCAGCACATTTTTGTTGCTGACCTACTGTCTCCATATACCTGTTAAGTATCCATACACAACCTTTCTCAATTATAACTGAAATTACTTGAATGGTTTCAACGAACAAAAGCGCTGTCAGTGTGAGAAAATGAACAATGATACTGAAACGAATCTATACGATCGAGGAAACAGTAAAACTAGAAATAAGTGAAGACGACCAAAGAAACAAAATTGCTGGAAATGTCTCAAAAGAATCACAAAAACTTTAGAATATGAAGGAAGAATAGTACGAGAACAAACTCGTATAATATAATATAATAAAGGTAAAATGAATGTGATATATGCATGGGAGCAATGATACTAGAACGGTTTCAATAGAAATAGAGGAACAATAATAATGAAACGGTCATAATGTTGAGAAAGGAATGATTCAACGGGAACAATAATAATGAAACGGTCATAATGTTAAGAAAGGAATGATTCAACTGGAACAATAATAATGAAACGGACATAATGTTAAGAAAGGAATGATTCAACTGGAACAGTAATAATGAAACGGTCATAATGTTAAGAAAGGAAATAGATGTATGATCAGACAGACAGAGTTACCATGGGACCTAGTTTGGTATCAGTATCACACTTTCTGTTCAACTAATAGATACATGATCAGATAGATGGAGTTACTATAGAACCTAGAGTAGCATCAGTATACACTTTGTGTTTAACCAATAGATGTATGGTCAGACAGACAGAGTTACCATGGGACCTAGTTTGGTATCAGTATCACACTTTCTGTTCAACTAATAGATACATGATCAGATAGATGGAGTTACTATGGGACCTAGAATAGCATCAGTATACACTTTTTTGATATACAAGACTGTTTAGGGTAAAAGTTATTATTTAGTTCATTTAGTAATTTAATATTTAATGATTAATTCGTTTTCTTAACAAGTGTTTAAAGTTAATTATTATAAAACAATAGTTTCATTACGTAACTCTGTACGAGTCGTACATTATGTATGGAGTTTAACTGTTGTACTAGGCTTTAGTAATATTGTTGACGTCATCTTATTCAAACTTTCCAAGATTTTCTAGTTATGTTTAGTATTGTTGCTACTAGAGGGCTAGGGATTTCTAGATTATTTTGTCGCGTGTTATAAATATGTGCAGATAGAAGAAAGCAAGTTAAGTGAAAGATAATTAGACAGATCTAGATTGAGTGATTGGTAGTTTAGTCGTGACGGACGATTTCTAAAGAAGTTAACTCAGAAAAAAGTAAGCTATTGAAAGTAAAGTTAGACTGCGTGATTATTAGTTTAGCCTAGTTAAGCCTTAACGGGCGATATTTTAAAATGAGTTTCACAGTTTAACAGAGATAAGGAGAATAATTTGTCTTGTCAAAAGGTGATGCAAAGTAATTGAATCAACCTGTGCGGACTTTTGACAAGAAAAGAGAATTATTTACAGTTTTAGATACAACTGTGATATCCTTTAGTGTAAAGAATTTTAGTAAATACGTTTGAGTTATTTTGAATATACTATTTTAAAACAAATGGATTGTGTGCTGTCCGTTTATTGTTCGAATTTATCGCCAATACATCACAGACACCTACTGTAGATAAATCCCGGCCCCCATAAAATTTGTGTTTAATCAAGAGATATATGATTTGTTTGTTTGTTTGGAATTAAGCACAAATCTACAAAATGGACAATCTATGCCCTGCCCAC